CAAATACTCGTAGTTGCATGTCTGCCATATACCGACTATCGCGACATCCTTTCAACTCCTCTTTCCATTTCCTCTTGCTTACTTCCACGTTCTGATTTAACCAAGACGCATTGCCCCACATTCCACTCTTTCCGTTTGACTTAAGACTGTGGCTGCTTATTATTAGCAGCTGAGTGTTAGTCTTAATTTCTAATTTGGTAACCTAGGTTCTCATTGCAAAAAATTTATTTACTTCAAATGGCAGGCATTTTGATAGTTATCATTAGCCCTTTAGTTGACTTTGGGCTTCACAGAAGGGAGGAACATTAAAGTGAGAAAAATTCGACAGGGGGAAAGAAGAGCGATTCACAGATGTAACAGACAGACAGACAGACACAAAGGCAGAGAAAAGGCTAGATGAGTACTGTGGAAGGGGTCGAATATGACATACAGTGGGGTTATAGAAGTTTGAAGTCAGAGGTCAACTGCCAGTTAATAGACTTTTTTGCCGTATGAGTATACGTTGCCCAGGGTGCACCACGTGGAGGTAAGTCTATCGCACACCCATTACAAAAAAATAGCACGAGTCTTTTTCGTCTGAACTGCTAACTATATCAATCATTAATACCAAGCTGTAAAAATTGATTTCACTGAATTGTTATTATTAATTAATCTCTTCCACATCTGTACCCTATCAGATTACTTTTGACTACTCATCATTCATGGCGTGTTATTAGTTTAGATATTTGTGGATAGCCATGTCAACGAAACAGCTTCATCCTAGTTAAGTTCAGGGAATTCTAAGGATTAATATTTCAGCAGGTTTCATGAATACTCTTCCTAAGATCATAACCGCGTTTATGTTACGCAATTCTTACCGAAAAAGCATAATTCTATTTGACACTCATTTGACTTCCTATAATTAGTAAATCGTAATTTTTTTAAAAACATCACTACTTACTGATATTTAAGAATTAATTTGTAAGGCAGGATCTTAACGAAGGTTGTAGTGTATCCATCTCCACCCTTTTCTACCCTTCTATTCAATGTAGTACATTTCTTTTGCACTGGGCTACCAGTGTCAGATCATATGAAAAATGCGACGAAACTGATACGATATATTTTTCTAAAACCTATAGGTAGTTAGTCTAGATATGCTTTAAATTATTTGTAAGTGCCACACATAACTAAATTGGCTTGGACCGGGCGTGGTCCATTGAAAAGGTGACGTCGGACCTCTTTAATTTGGCTTCATAATAATTTACGGAATTTATCAAGCAAAACGTATATTACTCTTGAAAGTAACAAAATCCATTTGAAATTATCATAATTCATCACAATATATATATATATATATATATATATATATATTTATATTGGACCTGGATTTTATTTTGATGAAGTATTTTGATTTTCAGTTCTGAAAGTGAAGAGACTGGCTTATTTTGGTTTGCATTATATTCGATTAAACGCCCAAACTATTTTTTCTCTCATCAGTAATACCACGCACTCCTCAAAATCAAGATATTATATCGAATAAATTACGATAAATCAAATTTGAAACCCTCATAACATTTGAGTAAATATTGCAAATGATACCTTATTTAACTGGACAGTTCAATAAGTTGGGATAGACGTTTAGCTGTTCTTAAAGTTAGAACCAATAGAGCCGGATCATTTATATGTATCCTTCCGAGAATATCATAATAAGTATAGACTAATACTTCATATAAAATGACTACAGCAACTAACATGATTTGAGTTTTAATAATCCAATCCAGCATAAAGATAAAAAGAATGAATTTTATTGAAGTCTTTGAAGAACAAATAACCGTTAAATCGATTATGTAAGGAGCTCTTTGGAAATTTGCATTATATTAATATAGATGGGTAAAACAAGTAAGAGAAATCATTTTAATTTCAACAATCCATTCTTAAATATACATGACATAATAATAGAATGAATAATTAATGTTGTTGGACAAATTGCCAAGTTGAAATAATAATTACACTTTTATTTCATTAAAGTGCTATATCATTTATTATCGCACAAAATTACAATTATGGTAGCACGATTCATTTTAATAACTTGCCAAAGTTAGTAAATCACTTTAAGTAATTTAAGCTTTTTTATCTTTTAGGTATGAAAGTTTCATCGCCATTATTTCCTTCTTATCATTTGTGATTAAAAATTATCACTTAGTTATCTGATTGTTAAATTATATTCCTAAAGCTTTCATTTCGAATAGGTGAATCATAGAAATAACTATAAAATGGGCTTGGCTCAGAATAAAGTTTTATTTTTCATATCTTCTATGTTTACAAAAGAATCGAGAGCATGTCTTGCCCATAATACTATAAATTTGAATAAATATGCAGTTACTGCTGTTTGTAATTCTATATCAAAAGGCGTAAAATACTCCATTAATTTCAACATTGATATCATTTGATAAACACAACTTACATGCAAAATTATGATTTTTTGATTATTTTTATTTATATTGTGTGCAAACATATTGTCATCATGAGTGATTAAAATTGAGGACCCCTAATTAGAGTTCAAGACAAAAATGTTAAAGAGTCAAATAAAAGTCTCAAAATACTGATAAAATACTTACTAAACATGCTAGTAATTTATGTTTAAATTTGTCATCCACAATGTGCCTACTGTTATTTAAGTGTGCTTCCAGTTTCACTATCGTGTCGTGCCCATCGATATGACGTGAGTTGTTGTGTGATGAAATTTTCTTCACTTGATTAGTGATAGTTGTCCTCTAAGAAGTGCTGATTTAATTCCGTCTTATGAGCTATTTTCTTTACCAGGAGCAAGATTTCAAAAGACGTTTTGCTGAAAAGGATTGATGATATCTTGGATTACAGTCTGAAGGAGCACAAGCGAAAGTTCTTGGAGACCGTTGAGCTCCAGGTTGCACTTAAAAACCTCGACCCTGCAAGGGATCGACGTTTCGCAGGAACCATCAAGTAAGTACCACTGAATTGTGGTAGTCAGTGCTTCACTGGCGGACCTCCACCCAGGGTCTTAAATATTTTGGGAAGGCTTAACGCCGATTAATTTTGTTTCATGTAGGCTTAAGCATATTCCTCGGCCAAAATTTTCCGTTTGTGTCTTGGGTGACCAACAGCATTGCGACGAGGCTAAAGCTAACGGTATTCCGTGCATGGATGTTGAGGAGCTGAAGAAGCTCAACAAGGACAAAAAGCTCGTAAAGAACCTTAGTAAGTAGAGTGTACATTTCTAATGTTGTGTAGGCAAGAAATATGGTGCTTTCCTTGCCAGCGAAAGTGTTATTCGTCAAATTCCAAGAATATTGGGTCCAGGCCTAAACAAAGCTGGCAAGTTCCCAACTGCCGTCTCCCATCAGGAACCTCTCGTCCAAAAGGTTGAGGACATTCGAGCCACGATCAAGTTCCAGATGAAGAAAGTGCTCTGTCTTGGTGTTGCTGTTGGTAATGTCAAGATGACCAGGGAACAGCTTCAGCAGAACATCACCTTATCCATTAACTTCTTGGTTTCTCTCTTAAAGAAGAATTGGCAAAATGTTCGTGCTGTATACATAAAGTCCACTATGGGTCCATCACACCGATTGTACTAAGCTATTTTTACGAATGTAAACGTCAGTTATTCTTTGGTATTTGCTTTTTTTATTTTAATGGTTCGGGGTAATTAAGTCTTCAGTTACATTTGGTAATGTACTTTTATTAATCCTATGAGCCTGGAAATGGTGGCATTTATAAGAAGTTGAACGACTTCATTTGGCTCATGTTGATTGCTTGTTTGAGCTAGTATTCATTGCTTCTGGACTCTTAGGTAAAAAAAGCCCGTTCCTCGCCCAATGTTCTTGTCCAGATTGCATCATAATTTAGTTGACTGGCATCAAAATACTAGGGGACTGCTATTGCCCGGGTTTTCACTTTGCCTCGATTAATGTGATCGGTAGATTATTATTTTATGAAGGATGTTGAAGCGTTTCGTTGAGGTATTCTATCACTACAAGTTCTGCGCTAGTAGATTTCCATGAATCGATGTTGGTCAGTCAACAGAAAGTCTGTAAACCGGTTGCTTGTCAGATTCGATCACTTCCACGGTACTTACCTTACATGTGCGAATCACTTTTAGGTTCCCCTCCTCGACATTTCGTGACTTCGATGTTCTTCCCATCGGGGTGTGCGATAGACTTACCTCCACGTGGTGCACTCTGGGCAACGTATACTCATACGCCAAAAAGTCTATTAATCGGCAGTTGACTTCTGACTTCAAACTAACAAGACACCAAGACATTTTATATTCTACTAATTAAACAGTACTCACCTTTTTTCTACCTTTGTGTCTCTCTGTCTCATTTACGTCTGTGAATCATTATTCTGTCCCCCTCTCGACTTTTAGCCACTTTGATGTTCATCTTCCTTTTTCTGTGAAGCCCAAAGTCAACTAAAGGGCTAATGATACCTATCATAACGCCTGCCATTTGAAATAAATAAATGTTCTTCCCATCTGTGAAGCCCGAAGAGCAA